TAAATACATTATATTTTTAATATAGTAATTTGTTCTTTAAATACCAAGGAAGGTAGGTGCGATTGGTTCATTTTAATTAAATTGTTCAATATCAAATCATCATAGTCAGTAATTTGTTCATTATTGAGCTTTTTGGATTTAACAAAGGAATATTTGTTATGTTTATATAACAAATATGTAAGTGTGATGTGTGTAAATTTAGATTTACACATGTGGAAAATGTATGGAAATGTGTTTTTTTAATTTATGCTTTTAATTCCTGGGGATGAGATCAAAACCCAATTAATCAGTCATTAATTAGAATAAAACATCACATTATTTTGATTGTTTTTTTTTATTCTAATTTAAGACAACAACAAACCATTTTTCACTTTCAATTTACCAAATTAATTCAACAAAATTAAAAAATTTCAATTACATAAATTATATAATGGGAAAACAAAGTGGGGGGTATATTAAATTAACAGTAAACTTTTTATTTGACATTGACTTTATTTAGAAATGCGAGGGAAACCTTGTGATTGGATGGATTCATTTTTCTCTCTCACAAATTTTCCATAAAAGGATGTCAACTTGGATAAAAATAAAAAGGATGAAATTTATCGCATAAAAAATATAAAAAATATTAACCCAACAAATCTTTGAATTAAGCCATTCATTACTTAGCCTGGTTTGACTTCTATTTACTATAATAACCTAAATAATTAGTTTAGAATAATTCGAAAATATTAATGTTAATGTTAATAATAGGTGGTCGATGTTGCGATTGTGTGTGATTGTGTGTGTATATATATATTTGTGTATATTATTTATTATAATAATTTTATTAGTTCCAAAAATATCTTTGCGTAATATGTATGACACAAATTAACATTTTCAGGAGAGAGAGGAAAAAAGTCTTTATAGGTACAAGTGGTTCAGTGGTGTAAATTATCATTAATTTGTGCCATTTCCTTTATAAACAATAATGATATAATATTATTATATGCATTTTAATATATGTTTATCTAATTTATACAATTTATGGTGTATGCTGTCTGTCGTACGACTTTAAATTTTAATATATTGTCTATCTGACGTCCGTGTAACTTTAATTTACTTTTAACCCCTTTATTAGTTGGATTTTTTTGGCTCATCTCCTGTTAATACCTCGTAAGTTTTTTTTTTTCTCAAAAAAAAAATTTTTATTTATTTATACTTTTTAAAATAACATAATATCATCACATCCCCTTTTCATATATGTATATATATATATAAATTTTTTTTAAAAAATAATTTTTTTAATTCTTTTTTCCTCCCTTTTTTTTTCCTTAAAATTTTCTCTTATCTTTACTAAATAATAAAAATTAATATAATAATATTTATAATAATATAATTAAAAAGCGACATTTATTTATTTCAAAAAAAATCATAAATTTCTTAATTATACTTTAATAATTATAATAATTATAATAATAATAATTACAACTAATATTACCATTTCAAAACATTAATAATGACTGAACCAACTGTTTCTGCCGAAGAACCTTCAACTACTGCTGTTCCAGCAGATACAAAACCCATTGAAGAGGCAAAACCAACTGAAGAGGCAAAAGCCGAAGAGACAAAAACCGAAGAGGCAAAACCAACCGAAGAGTTAAAAACCGAAGAGACAAAAACTGAAGAGGCAAAACCAACTGAAGAGGCAAAACCAACCGAAGAGGCAAAACCAACCGAAGAGAAAAAAGAGGATACTATTGATACAGCAACAACAAAACCTGATGCTGGTGCTGAACCTACAACTACTCCCAAAGAAGTTACTACCTCTAACACCGCAGAAAATAGTGAAGTAAAAAAAGATGATGATAAAAAGGAAACTAATAGAGAAGTTGTCAAAACTGAAGAGGATAAAGAAGAACTTATCGAAACTGGTGACGTAATTACCCTTAAAAGTGGCATATTTTCTTCAAAAGCTGCTCATTATGCTGCCTTTGGCACTGATGAACCAATTCCATTGGAAAAATTAACTCAATATTATAGAAAACATATTAAAACAACCAAACCCATCACTCCTTCCCATTCTTCTTCTAGTAACACAACAACACCCGCCACTAAAACAAAAACAGAGGATACCACAACAACAACCAAACCCGATGATAGTGAGATTGTTGTTGAAGATGATTCAAAAAAACCAACAACTGAAGCTCCTGAAAAAACAAAGGAGGAAAAGGAATCAACTGAAGCTGCAGCACAAGCGGTTGATAGATCCAAGAAAAAAATTGAATCAAATAAAGCTCTTTATAATAATCTTGCTCATGCTTCTATAACAGGAAAAGGCCTTTTAGTATATTACAAGACTAAAAATGATTATGACAATAAAGAACCATTTGGTATTATTAATCTTAAAGATTCAAGTGTTGATTCCGATAGCAAAGGTTATCAAAATTTTACAATAAAAACTACGATTCGTGATTATAATTTTACCGCATCAAGTCATAATGATAAAATAAAATGGGTAAAGTCTATTAATAAAAAAATTATTGAAGCAAAATCTTTGCCACCAATTGAAGTTCAGGATACTTTCAAAGAAATTTATCAAAAACTTGAAGGTGTGTGAATAATATATTTTGTTATTTATTAATTAAAATTGCTTATTAATATTTTATTTTATTTTATTTATATTAATTATTTTATCCATTAATATAGACCCCAATTTAGGCTTTACTAAATTGGTTAATGTTCCTAATGTTACTTCAGATTCAGATATACTTTCTGAAGAGGATGATCATCCACAAAAAACTCCAATTTCTGATAAACGTAAAACGATTACCAACTTCTTTAGTTCACTTATAAAAGATCCATCTACTGAAACTCCTCAATCTTTAACTACAAGCGAGACAACTACCACCACCGATGATACTTCTAAAACACCTCAAAAACAAAAAAGCTATTTTATTAATTTTCTTACAAGAAAAAATACTTCTGATGTTGCCACAAATGAAGCTACCGAAAATGCTACTACTACACCTGATGCTAGTGATGAGACTACTACCGGTGATAAAGCTGAGGAAAAACCCGAAGAAAATGTTGATGACACAACACGTGATGCTGCTACTAAAGAACAAAAAGACTCATCATTCATTAAAAATTTAATTAGAAAAGCTGTAAATGAAGTAACTAGTGTTGTTTCTTCTACATCAGCCCATGGTGAAACTACCACTACTGAACCCATTACTGATGAACCATCATCATCATTGAATCAAGAACCTAATAAAAAAGAAGAGGGGGAGGAAAAGAATGTAGATGAGAAAAATAAAAAACCCGTAGTAACTACATCTGAAAATGAAGATAAAACAGATAAAACAGATAAAACAGATAAAACAGATAAAGCAGAGGGTTCAACTAGTCCCACAAGTCCTGGTCCCGGTCCTATAGAATTAACTAAAAAATTCATAAATCGTAGTAAAACATATTTACAAAAAGCAAAAAGACCTGATAATAGTAGTACTAGAGAAGTAGAAACACCAGATGCTACCACAGGAAAAACTGACGAAGTAACTAAAACTGATACAACTGCCGTTGCTACTTCCACTACTGATGCAAAACCTGATGACAAAAAAGAAGAAACTATAGCAGAAGAAACCAACGAACCTGTTGCAAAAACGGCTGAAGATACTTCAACTACTCCAGAAACAACCGCACCAACTGAAAAAAAGAAGGGCATTTTTAACAAAGATAAGCGTGATAAAGAAATACTCCAACCCCGTATTGATGACAGTATAAAACATGGCGAATTATTTAAAGTGTCACAAATTCTTAAAATACATGATAAAACATATTTCGTACTAAATAAAGACGGAACCTTAACTTACCTCAGTAATAAAAGAGAAAAAAACATAGATCTTACAGGTGCTGAGGTTAAAAAAGTTGATCCCGATAGTAAAGAAAAAACAGTGGAAAAAGAAAAACCCGAAGAAAAAGAAAAAACAGTGGAAAAAGAAAAAACAGAGGAAAAAGAAAAAACAGAGGAAGAAAAAAAACCAGAGGACAAACCCGAGGAAGAAAAATCTGCGGAAAAAGAAAAAATTGTGGAAAAAGAAAAACATGAAAAACACAAATATTATATAGAAATTGATACAAAAGCTCCAAGAACTTATAAACTTTACACTGAAGATAAGAAACTTCGTGATGAATGGCACGATGCTATTCAGGAAGCCATATCCTTGAAAAACCAGAAAGAATCAAAAAAAGAATTGCTTCCAACTATTGCACAATCAGATCGTGATTTTACAGCTGAAGTTCATGATGCTACAAAGGTAGAAAAGGTAGAAGAAGAATCATCACAAGGAAAAGATACCACTAAAACAGATGAAACCACTGTTACCGCTCCTGTTGACCCTAAAGTTGAAAAAACAGATGTAACACCATCCGAATCAAAACCAGAACCAGAATCAAAAACTGATGCTGCTGAGCCTACAAAAACTGATCCTGAGCCTTCTACTAAGGCTGAGACGGTGCCATCTGACACAACAGCGTCGTCATAATATCGGATGAGTAATAAAAAAGATTGAAATGATTTGATTTGTGATGGGGTTTTAGCAAAAATTTATATTTTATTTTTTATGTCTTTTTTTCTAATTTTTAATATATTATTAATTTAATAATAATAATACCTAATGATAATTTTTATAATGATAATAAATATATTAGCAGTAAATAAATAACCAATAATATCACCTTGCTATTAATTATTTATGATTACTTTTTTGCTTTATTAATTTTATTTTTCTATGTTTTTATATACATACATAATATATTTATATATATATATAATTAATATATATATATAGTTTTTTTCATTTCAATCAATTTCACGTGTAACATCTACATCAAACACAAGTATCAAAATGTGATTGGCTGGTTTTGCTTTGCAGATCAAAACAATTTTTTAATATAAAAAAGATTATTATAACAAATAAATAAATAAATAGATTCAAACTTTTTGATTTGTAATAATAATAATGGAAAAGGTCAAAATGAATCATTTGCCGTTGGGATCTGATCAAACCATTGATTTTAAACGTTATTATTTTTATGGCTTCATCATTAATCTTTTGCCAATTTATATATTTTATCCAATAAGAACCGCAAAAACTATTCAACAGTCAAACATTGGTACTGAATTGTCAACATCTTTATTTGAAGTTTTTAAAGAAAGATTAAAATCAGAAGGAACACGAGGCTTATTTAAAGGTGTTAGTGTTTATGCGATGGGTAGTATAGGTGGTAGATTAGTCCACTTTGCAACCTATGATGCTTTAAGAGAACGTGTTGGTAAAGGTAATGCAAAAAATATTGGTCTTTCGTGGCTTGAAGGCCATAGTCAAACAACGATCAATGCTTTCTTGGGAACATTGAGTGCTGTAATTACCTCTAGCTTTATGGTACCATTTGATGTTATATCACAACAACTTCAAATTTCTAAGGCGTCATCGTCTGGAATAGACACTGTAATTCCCGGTGGAGAGCTACCTTCATTAAATAATAATAATAACAACAACTCCAAAATATCAAAAAGAACAATATCAACTACATCGTCGAAAAAGTTACCAACATTCGAAATCGTATCAAATACAACGCCCGCAACAACATCATCCATCAAAACAGCATTAATTGAGTCATCTCAAAAAAATTTCATTACACGTTTAAAACCTAATGATGTACCACTTTATCGATTTTTATATCGCGGCTGGACTGCAGGACTACTTAACACTGTTTCATTTTTCCCCACCTATTTTTTTGTTTACACTTATACACTGGAACAACTGAGACTACAACAACAAAACAATCTATATTTAAAAAATATTTTACCAACATCGCATTTTTTACTTTCTGTAACGTCAGGAGTTGCAGCAGGAACTATGGCAACTTTTACGTCGGCACCTTTTGACGTTGTCAAAACCAAAATTCAAATAGCTAGAAAATCTGGTCAAGGAGACTTGAAATGGTTAAATGTTGCGAATCAAATAATCAAAACTGAAGGAATGAGAGGATTGTTTGTTGGTATGTCGGCTAGGTTATGGATTGTTATACCGTTAGGAAGTTTGAATTTCTGGGTATTTGAAAAAGTTAAAGAGTGGAGTACCGTAGATGTTGCTGTTAATCCGGATGAAAAAAGTTGAAAAGTTTTATTTTTTATTAAAAAAATTTTTTTTTTGTATATTACTATTATTATCATTACTGCTATTAATCTAATAAACTCTAATTGTAGTTATATATCATACACATGTAGATTATTATTTATTATTTTATCAACAAACTTTTCTTCCAGCACTATAAAATAATAATAGAGAAATCAATTCATTCAGTTGTGGAACACATTTAGATCTGATGAGGATTTTCCTTTTAATAATTCAAATATATTATTAGTTGCTAGAATAGGAATTCTTATACACCTTTCTAATGCTCATGTAGAAAGAATATTTTCTCAAACAAAGTTAATTAAAAATAATTTGAGAAACCAAATGAATGTAGTAGATGCATTAGATGATCATTTAATAATGGATCAGAAATTGAAATTTTTGATTTTTAAAAAGCACTAGAGCCTTGGAAAAATAAAAAACAAGAATAATACAATATTCATAATTATTATAATAATTAAATTAAGGCAGTTTCTATTTGTACACTATGTGTGTAAACATGATGTTATGTTGCACATTATTTTACATTATATTGGTTCACAATCACATTGGATCATCCCATCATTTGATCCAAACAACCTTTTTTGGCCCATTTTTTGGGAAGTTGAACAAGTGCCAACCACACAATCTCTGACCATCACTTTATTTTATCATATCAGATCATCCCATCATTTTCACAAATCAACCTTGTCTTGTGTTATATATACACACATACAAATCATATGTAAGATGCAAAATGAAATGTTATGTGTCCCAAACCCTCAAGCAAAACACACACTCTAAAAAAGTTTAAAAAAAAGTTAATTTTTTTTATTGATGCAAATTTTATTATGTAACGCATGTGACACATGTACATACACTACGTGTTTGCTAAGAAATTTTCTTAAATTAAAATCACCAAAGAATGTATGCACGTGCATAATGTAACGTGACACACACTCGCTGAATTTTATACACTGGTTTAGGAGTTTCGGGTTAGTTTCGAAAATAGTTTAGGGAGGACCCCGAACAATCTTAGGAGATGTACATTTCAATTTTGGGTAGAAATAGCCCTCAAAATCGAATATCATTTCTTAATTAGGATAAATTTTGTGATGATCTTGCAAATTATTTCCAAAAATGGTAATAAAGTGGGTATTTTTCAAATGTACCATCTTCTAAGATTGTTCGGGGTCCTGTTTAGGGTTTCTAAACTAGTTTAGAAAAGATGTTAGAGTTTAGAAAGGCAACTCTACTGGTTGGTAACAGGATTTTTGGGTGATTGGTCTATTAATAAATAACACATTGGTCATTTTGATTATTGAAATTTTTTTTTTAAAAATCATATATAAATTAAAGTTACAATGTTTATCTACTATATATATAATTTAATTAACCAATCTATTAAAATTTTTAATGTTGATCAGAATGATTATTATTAATCTTTGTCATTAATTCTAATACACTAGAAATTTTTTTCTTCAATTAAATTCATTCTATCATTTATATTTCCTTTAATACTTTTCATTCCATTTTTTAAGTGTATAATTTCTAAATTATCATTTGTCAATGTATTATTGTTTTCATGTGATGATCAAAAACCCCACTAAATCAAATATATGCATGCATGGGCATAATTTTTTAATATTATTTTTTTATAAATATTTAATAACAATGTCATAAAGATGATTAACATATTTTGCATAATAATAACAAAACATCAACTGTCCAAAAATTCCATTGTTTTAATTGATTCATCTACCCTTTGTCCAACAATATGCAGCATCAATCAATTGAAAAAGAATTGTCATTTGTATTAGATCAAATTAATATATTGTTAAGTTGGATCTGTACTTTTTATAATGTGTTGATTACTATTGCTATTTCTCTAGGCGATTTAAAGGACATATCTAAATAAAGATAAAACAATAAAATATAATTTCACTGTGTAAATAATATAATGATTAATGATATTAAAGAAAAGTTTTACATTGCATGTTCAAATCCTAATACCACACACAATAAGTATGAATGAAAGAAACGGTCATTTTTCATTACGTTTCCTATTATATAAATATAATTTCAGGTCCTGTTATTATTTTTAAAAATTTTAATGAATTCATTATTTAAAGTTTAATCAATTATCATATTATTTATCAGAAACTTATATTCAACAATTCCATCCACAGAACTAAAACCAGTAAATGCTATGGTGCATACTACCTATACTCATCCAAAATTTTCATGTGACTCCTAACTGTATCTAGTCCACCAATTTTTGAAAATTTTTAAAAAATAAACTGTGCAAATAATAGCCTAAATGATTCTCTTTTGATTACATGGATTAAATTTTTTAGTTGCATAATTTTTTGGAGAGCTGATAGTGTTTAAAAATAGTCAGTTTTATTAATAAGTTTTCAAATTTCGGACGTTGATCATTATCAATCGGAACCTATTTGTTGATCATTTTATCACGTGAAATACTCTGGCCAATAAATGAATATTTTTTATCGCTTGTATTAATTATTATGCAATTTTTTAATATAATGGATGATGGAATTGTAGCTTCAAAATGAACCCAAGATAATTGGGATATTACCAAAATTGACTTGATGTGGTTTAAAATAATTTCATGACAATTTGCAAAATTTGAAATTGAAATATTAATTTTTTTTTGATTTTGTCATTTAATGGTGCCAAAAAAACTTAATTTTCCTTGCCCTCCCCTTACTACCCCACCCCAAGACAGCAGTGTTTTATATATTTTTCCTCTATTAGCACAAATGCATAAATTTTGAACACATGCAAAATTTTTTCTCCTGTTGTGAAAATGGTTAGTGAATACTTTAGCTTTTGACATAATAATATGTTAAGTCAAGGTACAATTATCATTTGTTGCTTGATCTATCCGGAGAGCTAATGATTCAGTTAACTTGGTTTTTTAGATGATTGTTTTAAAGATTAGTTTTCATACTATCACTTAAATCCATTTTTTATTATTAATTAATAGTTTTTATATATATTTAGGAATGTAATAATAAAATTAAAAGGTATTTATGTATTTATTAGTGACATTAGCAGGATCCGATGGAGATAATATTAATATTACTTGAGCAATGTTTTTATTTGTACATATATAAATAAATAAATAAATAAATAATAAATAAAAATCCATATTTCAGTATATTGCTTTGCAAGCTTCATAGACCTTGTTTTTAATACTTTAATTCCACCAAAACTAATGTTAATCAAGTATAATTGTTTAGAAAGATTTTTATTTATATTTGATAAATGATATTAATAATAAATACAGATTATATATGCCCAAAGTTTGTTATATTCACTCCATACATCTCATGTGGTATGCACTGTGGCATTGTCATCTTGAAAAAGATAAAAAAGATAATCTTTTCCATGAAATTTTTTCTCAATGTAGGGCAACAGATGTCTTCTCATTATTCAATGCAATTCCATCTATCCATAGTTCCATCTACTAAAACAAGGGGTCCTAATCCTCTATTTGAAAAGCAACTTCAAACCATAATGCTACCACCATTATGTTTACTATACATGGGATGGTAATTATTTTGCCAAAAACGTAATACGTAATACGTAATTACGAAATTAATTACGGGCGACGAAATTAATTACGGGTGACGAAATCAAATGACACCTATTATTTATCTCGTTATACTAGTATAATGACATAATTTGTCAACTTTTTTTAGAATTATAAAATTTATTCTGTTATAACGACATGTTAGTATAATGGGAGAACCAATCAAAATCATTCTCATTTCTGAAAAAACATAAGGAAATAAAACTTACGCCGGGATCAAGATTGACCGGCACCATGGAAAATTCTGATAACACTTCTGTATAATGCTGGTCAATTTTGACCCGGCGTAAGTTTTAAATTTCCTGATAAAACATGAATGAAATAAAAAAAAAATATAATAAAAATAAAATTACAAATCACATGATAATGATTCTCATATGACTTTTATATGAACTCCCGTTATAATGACATTCTCTTCATACTGACATTTTTTGTTTGTACGGAGAGTGTTGTTATAACAGGAGTGACTTGTATTATGATATTTCCAATAATTAATTCGTTGTTATTCATAATTAATTTCGTCGCCCGCAATACGGCAACTAATTTCGTAATTATGTTTTTAAAGAGGAAAATGGTAATTAACTATGATAATTACGTACTTACGGTAATTATGCAATTACCATCCCATGTATAGTGTCAACAACGGTTTGCATAGAAAATTTTCACAATAGTAATTAATTTGTCACCCGTAATTAATTACGTAATTACGTTTTTAAAGAGTGAAAGTGGTAATTAATTACCATTACATTAATAAATATAATAAGAAAATTTTTTAATTATCTTGAGGCAGGAGCAAAAACCAGCATAATTAAAGTCACTAGAGGGCTAGTAGATTACTCTTGAGTGAGTATCATGTTAATTAACCAAACTCGGATCTCACACTCACAACTCCATTCCTCCAAACTCCCTAGTTTCAGCAAGCAACTTTAAAAGTGACAAGTCTTGCTCCACATTTATACACCATTTGTAAAAAAAAAAAAAAGCATCAACAAACATTCATTTAATCCTTTATAAGAAACAGTAGCTTACTTAATCCTTTATTTTCCATTACTAATATTAAAAAAGAGCGAATTATTTAAAGTGTCACAAATTCTTAAAATACATGATAAAACATATTTCGTACTAAATAAAGACGGAACCTTAACTTACCTCAGTAATAAAAGAGAAAAAAACATAGATCTTACAGGTGCTGAGGTTAAAAAAGTTGATCCCGATAGTAAAGAAAAAACAGTGGAAAAAGAAAAACCCGAAGAAAAAGAAAAAACAGTGGAAAAAGAAAAAACAGAGGAAGAAAAAAAACCAGAGGACAAACCCGAGGAAGAAAAATCTGCGGAAAAAGAAAAAATTGTGGAAAAAGAAAAAAAGAAAAAACACAAAAATAAAATAGAAATGAAAAAAAAAGACACAAAAAAAAAAAAAA